TTAGGAGCATCCTACCGTACGAACCATCGCCATTGTGAGGTTTTTATTAAATTCACACTTTAATAGTAAAATTAAAAGCGTGGCGATGCGATAGGTCAAATAAGCGATAATATGCCTTTTAGTAAAGTTTTAGTGAAAAATGCAAAGCCACGAATCTTGACAATACCAGGGAAAAAAATACTAGCAGGCTCATTTCAGAAACCAAAACACTTAAAAATGAGTGCTTTGTGACCCAGGTGAAGGTCCACAGACAGAATAAAGAAAAGAGAGGAGACAAATTCCTAGAAGAACCATTTTAAAAAGAACGAGGGGGGGAGCAAGAAGTCGAAAGAAGGCAGGATGGATTGGAGGAGACAATAATTCAGGTTAGAACTCAAAACAAATATGCTGGTATAATTGATTATTTACAGCCAATGGATGGAAATAACACAACAAACTTGTTTTATGTTATGTAAAAGGTTATAATAAATAAGGTTGCGATTAAAATATATTTTAGGTCCTAAACTAGTAGACCTAAACCTAAAATTTTACACTAACCTAAACAATATAGTTATCGAGAAACTCTCATTGCAGCAAACTGGAATTTAAATTAAACCTTTAAAATATAATATATGTTCAGGTTCACGGGAAAATATGAATTTTAAGCTATTTTTCTGGAATTTGCAACATATGTTTTTCAACCCCCTGAACACCTGTAATTAACTGTTTAAGGGAAAACATTCTTTGTGAATGACTACGAATCTTGATGATGTTCTTTTATTAGACAAAAATTTAGTGTGTACTGGAAATGTATTGGAAATATAAATAAAAAAAAAAAGGTCTTTTCATACCTAGTCAGAAATTTCAACAGCTGGCTTTATACATATTAAGAGATTTGAATGAGCTCAGTACAAAGCCCTTAAGGAAAATAATAAAAATTATAACGCGTTCTTTGTTCCAACAAGTTTTTTTTTTCTGAAGTTTATGACTGGTGGCTCAGAAACATAGAATGTGCAGATTAAAACTTCATGCTTCCTAAATTCAATTCAATTCAAAATGTCTTTATTAGGTATATAAACAATTGTATACAAATTAAAATAATAACGATGGCGACGTTCACATTTGTGCTCTTCCACGCAACCATCAAGGTATGTACTACTAGATCATAAATGTACTTCAATAACCTAGTATTGATGCACCAAAATCGGGCTAGGGTACCTATTGTAATTATTTAAACGCTAGAGGTTTTTGAGACCAAGAATATCATATACTGATAGAATGGGAGGTGTAAAACCTTACTTTTTTTTGCACCTTAATTTTAACACTACTAAAATTTGGAAATGGTTTTCCAGCAAGAAACTTAGGCCCAACTGCAACCTAAACAAACCATTGATTGCCAGATTTCTCTGGGCACAATCAAACAGTATAATATAACATATAAAAAATGGTGGGTCTTTTGTCAGTTAAACATGATTTTCCAACACAGTATACTCAGGATATTTTAAAAATTTTAAGTCAAGAATATCAAAATAATTCAAAATATAACACTCTCAACGCTCACCGATCAGCCCTTAACATCTTAACGGATGCGGGGAAAACTGAATCAGTGGAAAGACTTATGAAAGGTATATTTAAATGTAGATCATCATTCCCAAAATATTAAGAAATTTGGGATCCGCACCCGGTGTTGGTAATGCTTGGAAAACTGTATCCATTACATGACCTTGACTTAAAAATTTTATCAATAAAATTAATCTTATTACTGGCCTTATGTACAGCACAAAGGGTTCAAACTCTATCAAGTATACGGTTGGAAAATACACATCATAGAGAAGAAGGACTGCACATTAAAATTAACGATATTTTAAAAACATCTACCCCAAAATCTGCACAGCCGAAGCTTTAACTTTTCTTTTTTGCTGAAAACCCCATCTTTGTGCTGCCACCACGATTTTGCATTACATAGAACGTACTAAAAACCTTAGAGGTAACGAACAATACTTATTTATAACAACAAAAAAAAACCATACAGACGGGTCTCCAACCAAACCTTAAGTAAGTGGATAAAAGAGGGTTTAAAAAGAGGTGGTGTAAATGTAGACAAATTTAAAGGTCACAGTACACGACATGCCGCGACTTCTGCGGCGGTGCGAATGGGGGTAACCATTGAAACCATTCGCAACGCAGCAGGCTGGTCCGAAAAATCACTAACGTTTTGTAAATTTTATAACAAACCAATAATAAGTGGTGCCAAAGAGCAGTCGTTTACTAATTTTACATAAACGACATTATTAATAACAAAAAATAAGAAGTAAATTGTTAAGTCGTGGATACTTTAATGTTAATTGTTCGTCGTTAGATAGGAAATTAAAATATATAAACTTTATGAGTTTTGGTATAGTAGTTTATTAGAGTGTGATTTATATAAACAATAAGCTACTATACGTATTATGTTCATATAATTATTATAATTTAATAAGAAAAATAGCATAACGGGAAATGCTATAAATGTTACATACTATCAAGTTCTTATTATAATTAACATATATATTTTTGTTTTGCATTTTCTTAAAATGCAGCAAAATTTACATGCAGATCGCCTTAAATTTCTTTAAACATCTACATGGTGATCTAGGAGGACGTGTCCAACTGAAGTATAATTAAGGATTAAACGACTTACCTGTAAGGAAGTTCAATCCAAATTATACGAAGTTGGACACGTCCTCCTAGATCACCATGTAGTAATACTTCTGTCACTGTTTTGAGCGCATGTTTAAAGAAAATGATTCACCGCCTCTTATATCACACCACTTTTATGTCTCATTATACTTCTGAAGCATTCTGATCGCCGTTGGGTTGGGTATGTATCTATCATATAGGTAGTTTACCTTTGATAGTGTGATTCACTTTGTGAGACACATAAGGGTGGGTTGATCTAGGAGGACGTGTCCAACTTCGTATAATTTGGATTGAACTTCCTTACAGGTAAGTCGTTTAATCCTTAATTATAATGGAAGTAAAGACAAGTTTTAAAATAGCCAAAATTTGTTTTTTTCGAAATATCTAATAAGCCTTGAACTTCTCCCCATTAACCGACTCTCTATCTCCAGTAGTTTCCGAGATGCCCATAGAGAACATCGTAGGAAACTCACCCTGTATAGTATTTTGAAACTAACTATTGTTATTATCTGACTAGTTTAATTTGATTAATAAGGCTAGATTAATTTAATTTCAAATAAATTTGATTAGATTTTTTTTCGTATATTCTGCTACCAGAAAACCAAGATTATATGATAACGCACTTTTCAACGAAGTTGAAGGAAGATATAGTGTATCTATCACAATACTTAGTAGAACTACTACAATTATTACAAGAAAAACAAAAAGAAGAAATACCCAAATACCCTTCTTAATTTTGTCGCTACATTTCTAATTTTACGCGCTAAAAGATATCTAAAAACCCTATATATTTTATATTTAACTTATTGTGGTACCTCTTATATTTTACCTAATAATCGATGTTTCCATACATATCAGCGACCCTGTATATTGCTATATCTGAATTGTATTTGTACCATTTTCGGAGATACAGGCTTGAAGTTGGAATCATTTTTATTTTGATTGTTTCAAAGTTGATATTTGTATGAAAATTGGTGTGGGTGATTTTTATTTAACACGAGAAATTTGATTTTGATGTCAATATGACTCCTACTTGTAGGGGGCGCTACTTATATACAGTGGCGGACAAAAGTATGGAAACATTTTTTATTTCCTATTTTATCTCGCTCAAACAAATAATACAGCTTAAATATTTTCGTATGCTAACAACCGCATAAATATATCAAATATTCACAAGATAATTTTTTATTCTACCTACATTGTTTATTTTTATCAACATATTTTGTTTACGCTTCGGACAAAAGTATGGAAAGTTTTTTTCTTGTTCGTTCATATTTTTGCTGTTGTGATCGATTTGTTTAGTTTGATTTTATTGCAAAGGCAAGCAACATATTGTTAAAAATGGGTAAAAATAAGTATTTGTCTGAGGACTTACGCAACAGAGTTATAGAGTTAAAAAATAGAGGTGTCAAACAGTGTACAATTGCCAAATCATTAATGATTTCAGAAGGAGCAGTTTCGAAAATTTTAAAAAAGTACCGAACATTGGGAGCTACAACTAACCGACCAAAATCGGGGCGTCCCGGAAAACCATCCCTTTTATAGAAAAATCAATTAAAAAGATTTCTCTAGCAGACCCACACAAATCTTTCCGGCAAATAAAAAAGGAAATCTGTGACTTCAATATCAACGTTACTGATCGCACCGTGAGACGACGCTTGTGTGAGGTAGGACTTCTGGGAAGACTGGCCGTTAAAAAACCTTTGCTCTCAAAAAGAAATCGGAAGAACAGAATTCGGTTTGCTCAAAACAATACCCCTTCACCTACTACTCAACTACAAAATAAACAAATATAATCTCTTAAAAACACTACACAACTACTTATTCTTGTATTCTACACTGAACAAATTATCAAACTTACTAATTTATCAAACAAAAAGAAAAAATAACAAAATTATCCCTTCACCTACTACTTAACTACAAAATAAACTATAAAAACACTACTAAACTATTTTTGGTAGACTACACTAACATGCTACACTAAACACTATAATTAAACTTAATAAATTAATCTAATTTTACATTACACCTACAAAGAAAAATGAAATATGAACATTTTCTAAAACTAGAAGAAACAGAACTTCCATACGTGCAACGAGGATAATAGGTCAAGGGGACAAAGAATATAAAATACTTTAAAATGTGCATTCAGAAAGAAAAAATACCTGGAAAATTATCTAAACAAACATTTTTATTTCTTATCAGTGAGAAGCATCGGCCTTGTCGGCCATGAAGAATTTGTTGGGTATTTACAATGGTCGAATTGTATAATTGCCAGCTTTTATAGCATATCTATGGAGTGTAGAGGTAAGGAGAAATAACTCTTGCGGGAGTTTTATTGAAAAAGTGGTCACAAAATGGGAAGAAGAAGGGTTCGCCAAATAACCACAGTGGCGCTAAAAACGCATGAATCTAAAAAATGAAAAGTAACCATAGATAAGAGAATAAAAATAAATATAACCAAACATTACCCAAAAAAATTTTGTTTTTATTTTTCAGACAGAGTTTTTGAATATAAAATAATTATTGTTTATCAATATTTTGTGCTTTATTTATTATTTAACAATGGTTAAAGTGTATGTGGTGCGAAGTTGATTGAATAGCTGATGGAAAAATAAAGAGCAAAGGCAAAGCCTACGGTAATTACGGTATGTAAAATACATAATATAATTCAGTATTGTATTATTTGTATTATATGTAAAAATTAGAGTCAATCAAAAGTGTAGTAAACATTTTTCGTAAGATTATTAACATACATGTTACAAAGTATATTTTTACAATCCTTTTTATAAAGTTACAACCTAAATAAAATTTATTTTTAATGATTTTAAAGTTTGACAGACATGCACAAATTGTTGGCATTTTTTTAAACAAGTAAAAGTAGGAAATACATAAAATTGTAGGTACTTTCAAGAAATATAGTTAACTGTAAGTGCTGTATTTTAATAATCTATCAAAAATCAAAATCATCAGGATAATATTAGGTATTGATTTTCAGACAAGAATTAGATTACAGTGATGGTCAAAAGCATTTAGATATTGCTTTGAAATCTACAGATAAGGTATGGCAGTTTCATTTTAAAGAAGAAGATGTTAAAGTTTGTGATAAAATTGTCATCAGAAATACTGTCCACTTCAGTATTTACATAGGAAAATATTGGAGGATGAAGCTCTACCTACTGCCTCAGGTTAATTTAAATTCTGAATTGCAACAACAGTAACAAGCAAGAAGGGCACCATTAAATGAATATTATACACATAAGTACCGTATGATCGAATAAAAACGGCGTCCAGTTGGCTTGGAAATGACGATCGATGGCATTTCCTATATAAATTTACATATAAAATGACAGCGATCTTCATTTCATAGCCATCGCTGACGCCGCTTTTATTCGATCATACGGTATTATTATACACAGAAAGAGTAATGTTATACACATAAATATTAACATTTTGTAGAGCAACAACACAATAAAAAACCAAAATATGAACACCAGCAACTAAAACAGGAACCATTAAATGAATATTATACACGTAAGTACAATTTGATCGATCGAATAAAAAACGGCGTCAGCGATGCCTATGAAATGAAGATTGCTGTCATTTTATATGTAAAATGATATGGAGAATGTCATCGAGATGTTCATTTCCAAGCCCACTGGACGCCGTGTTTTTTCGATCATACAGTATTATTATACACATAAATAATAATATTATACACATAAACATCCCTTGATAAAGATCAACATTTTGTAGAGCAATAACAGCATCAAATAATGGAAATAATGGACCCTACTGCTCAAATCAAAAACAAAATTTCATCATTACCACTTTATTGGTTATATCAATAAAAGAAATTATTGAGTTTATGAGTCTAGATCCTACAAGCAAGCAGATCTATCACATAATTTAAAATGAAGATTTATCTATTATAGTATGTATAAACACTTTGCATCTTTTATTCAATGTTGTAATGAATTAACAAATTGCAGGTAATTTATTCTAATAATGAAAAAGAAACTTTGGATCAAAAAATATTTTCTTCTGATGAGGCTTATGAATATTAAAGTCTGTTGAAGTTTGGCCATTATGTGTTGGTATACAATTTATTTATGATGTTACAGTAGTTAAACCATCCGAATACAAAACATATTTAAAATCCACTATTCTTAATGAACCAACTTGAGAGGAAGCTAAGAGAAAGGTTCTATTGGGTGGACTACAAGAAAAAGGGACATATACATGAGGATCTGGAAGGGCTATAACATTACGTCTCAAGCCATGGAACAATAGGAAACGAAATTCAAAGGAAAATATTACAATACGTGGGATGCAAATTATAGTGCAAAGAATTGAGAAAAAGAATTATTAAAAGTAGTTATAGTTACGATAGTTAAACCATCCGACTACCAAATATATTTAAAATCCACTATTCTGAATGAATAGCAACTACCAACTTGGGAGGAAGCTGCGAGAACGATTCTATTGGGTGAACTACAAGGAAGACATGAGGATCTGGAAGGGCTATAAAATTATATTATTCCACGTCCCAAGCCATGTTGGAATAGCTGGGAGTGAAAAAGAAGATAATACTGCACACGATTCTTGTCTAGAAATAGTTGATATTAAGGTAGTTAAGCCATCCGACTATCGAACATTTAAAATCCACTATTCTGAATGAATGGCAACTACGATGGGGCAAAAAGTAAATAAATACTTGTACAGTATAAAATTACATAATATTGGCTTAATTTTTATAATAAATAAAATGTATTACGTTATTTTTGACCTGCATTATATTTATTTAAATCCCATATAATCAATTAAACTTCAAATAAAGTTTTCCTAATTATAATTAACATTAATTTTAAACTAAAGCTTTTTCATCTCGAATGAGATTTACGAAATAACTTATGAGAAACAATAAAAAGATGCTCAGTCTATTGCTTCTGAATAATCGATAAAAAAACCACATATTGACTTACTTTTATACTAAATAAATGTAGGTATGAAGTTATTTTAAAGCTGCATTATATTTATTTTAAACCCATCACAAATTATTCCTTTAAATAAAATTTTTCTTAATTATAATTACCATTAATTTTAAGCTAAAACGATCAGAATATTTTTTCGTCGTCTTGAATGACATTTGCGAAATAACTTATGAGAAACAATAAAAAAAGGGCCTAGTCTATTGCTGCTGAATAAAAATCTGTAATTTATTTCATGCAACATGAAAATAAAATTTATTTTTTTTTGAAACCCGCGGCTTCGCGTTTGCTTCACGTCAAATATTTATGTCTTGAATCATCTGTTCTAAAATGTTCGGCGCATGTCTTAAATTTTAGGATCTTGCTACAGCAGCGCCATCCTAATTCTTCCCTTTTTTTTGACCATTTTTTAATGCACGGAGTTATTTCTCCTTACCTCTACACTCCATAAGCATATCTAATAGACAAAAAGTATCTGGTCGATTAGTAACCAATTGGCACAGTCCGAAAATTATCGATTTTTATTTTCTCTGTTTTTATTGGTAGCTTCAAAATTCAGAGTAACAAAAAATATTTTTCTGTAGGGAAACCGGTCCTGCCATCTAGTAGTCTTAGTCCATAAACGTCTTAGGTTGATCTACTTTAAAAATATATATACAAGGATAATATATATATATATCTTTCGGCCACAGATGAAGTTTTGACAGTCAGGTATAGTTCTAAAAAGTTTGGTGGCATAAAATTTTAATAGCAGCTCTATTATTTTTTTTTCTAACTCCTGTTTTCCCTCAACGTTGTGTTTTTTAAGAAATAATTAGTTCTTGTGTAGGTTATGTGGCAAGAAACAACTGCTTAGAATTAAAACAACTTATTTAGAATTATTAGATTTTCTCTATCTCTTTATCTAAGTTGTTGGAAATATAACTTATGCTTTAGGGTGCTATAATTTTAATCTAACACAACATTTTTACTAAACTATTTAGGAAATCACTTCCTCAAAATCTGATTAAAAAAACTAAAATTTATTTTAGTTTAATTACACATACCACACCAAAACCGATTGTTTAGTAATTCTTCGTTTTCCTGTACTATTTCCTGATAAGCAACGTCCGAGTTCCGGGACTAAAGTAATTCTCAGAATTTTATCAAAATGAATGTGAATAATCGCATTTTGTAAACAAACACTACGAAATTCCACTTATTTGAAGTGTAATATATGTAATCTATAACAAAACATTATCTATTCTGTAAACTTTGACATTATATTACCTTATGACAAATTGCATTACTGTATTAAAATAGTAATATACAGTAATAATTAAAATTAAGAATTAAAAAAAAAATATTAAACATATATTTGGGACAACTAATAGACAGCTAGGAATCTCTACTACCAGAAATCAACAGAAGAATTAAGTTAGAGAGAGCATGGAGTATTTATGGAAGAAATTCATTCATCACACAATCTATAACCCATCATACCCCTATTGTAGAGGGGACAGGGTATTACCCATCCTCCTCTGACAACAGTTCTTCTTCCGAGGGTACATATCCTTCTACGGTTGGAGTTTGGCCCTCCGTGCCGCTCTTCACAGTCGAGGAGCTTGCCTCCAGCAGAGGAACCCGTGAGGTGGAGGCTGGAGGATCTGTCTCCATTTTCTCCACCTCTTTAACTTGGTCTCTTCTTAGACCTGATGCCGGTGTTGTCCCGTATCTATAATAGAGGATATGTCCCTCTTTCTCTATTACCTCCTTGGATTTGCGGTCAGTTCCTATTGTGAGGACCTGACCATGACCCTCCTCCCTCGAGTTGGTGACTCGCCAACTCGATGTCCTTACATTGAAGTTCTGACCTTGGATAAGGCTCAGCAGGTAGGTAGTGTTTTTCCCCTTGCTCCTCGGCAGAAAGACCGTTATGGCCGCCCCTTTAGGGATATTTTCTCCCTTCACTGCAACCAGTTCCGGCCCTTGCCAATTTTTAAGCTTAGGTGCGATTTCCACCAACCAATTCGCCCATTCTTAAGATACACAATCTATTAGGATCATGCCCACCCGAAAATGTATCCCCACAAAACGCAGCTGACCCACATTTGGTAGATCGTTGTGTTGTGATCCGATCGCCACTACTTCGTCCAGTATAGCCTCTTCTAGAGACGTTTGCTGGTCGGTGGTCAGAGCAACCTCTGGGAAATCCTTTGGCAGCACCGTCATTTTCACGTGTCCAGCAATAGCGGCAAAGCTGATGATACGTCCTTGCTTGCCTCCCGGTGTTGGACGGCTTTCCATCCTGGCTTTTTTCTCTTCCTGCCGGAAACGAGGTGAGAGGTTCTCGCTCCATCTCTTGCCCTTTGATGGAGATGAGCCAAGTTGTTTCTTGGTTTCTTTACTCTCCCCTTTTCGGAGGAGTGTTTTCGCTTTTGCTTCCTCTAGAGCAAGTCCTTCGTGAAGCAGTCGGAGGGATCTCCGTGCTTCTTATTGGGTCTAGAGGTAGGCTCCCGACCCTTGCTGGAGAAGGTGGTAGCTTGTGTACCACTTGTGGAGGATGATCCCAAACAAGTGTCAGCCGCCCCTCCTGTAGTTTCCTTTGGATTTGGTCCCTTGGAACTTTCATTTGTAATATTCCCAGTATCGCTAGGGGGCTTCCCCACAGCTTCACCGGTGGTGTTTTTAATACTAGATCTCATAGTGTTCCCACGAGTCGCTAGGGATAGTCTAATACAATAGGGTGCCCCCTGATACCCCAAGGTTGAGGCCATTAATGGCTAGTCCTCTATCGAGCCACGCATCCCTTTGATCTGGTCCCGCCATCGTAGGATTTAGGTTTTTGGTGAGGTTGTCTCCTCTTGGTCCAGGCGGTTAAGCCAAGACCCCCCAACACCCTCTACCCGCGAGACATGACCACAGTCAGTAGGGGGTGCCTGATATGAAGGACAGGGGTAGCCCCGTCCGGCATCGTTTTATGTCTTGTTGCAATTCCCTGGCCACGACACTACAGCCAGGGACAAGACAATGAGATGCTTCTTAGACCGAGCTAAAGTGCTAGAGGAGATTCCTCCAGCACCTGACAAGGAGCTTCCCCGCCAACAACAAGGTCTTGCATCTTCTAGGGGAAGGACAGTATGGTACCTACGAGGAATTAAGAGACCTAGAAAAAAAAACGAAACTGAGATGGGACCATGATATTACATGACACATTTAGAAATAAAAATACCTAATCAAGAAGTTCAAGATGCAAAAGTTTTACCGTATATTCTTGCGTTATTAAAAAAAATACTAAAAAAATAAAAGTACTTCTGGTAAATTAATTTTTATTTATACTTTAAGAGCAGTTATCGTCAAACAATGGCAAAAATGTTATACGACTATAGTCGCCGCCAGGTATAATTGATATTCTTTATAAAAATGTATGCGTGATATACGAATGAAACAATGATCTATATCAAAATCAACTGAATATTCAAGAGTACTTCTGGTAAATCCATTTTTATTATTACTTCAAAAACTAACCGCTATCTTCCTGAAGTGGCAAAAGAAGTGGCGCGATTATAGTTCCCACTAAATATAATTTAGATTGTCAAGCCAACGTTTACATTCTCTAAATAAATAGTACATTATCGACTGCTGTACTACACTTGTCACTTTAGTTTTTAATGAAAAGTAAACAGTAGTGAAATAGTTGTAATCCTAATAAATACACAATATATTTAATTAATAATTTTATATGAATAACGCATTTTACAGTATTACTTGTTTGTTCTTGCTTATTAGTAAAGTGAAAACATAAAATGTCGGTTTTCACGAGTCTAGGCTACTTTTTTGTAATCAATAATGCGGCAAATTGTTACGACTCCCACGTTATTCTACAGGGTCCGGCAATAGTGCGTCGGGCATCTGTAGCTCCTAGAATAAAAAAACTGCTAATTTTATTTAAATGCAAACCTAAAGTATGTATGAGGATGTCAGGAAAATATTTTAACTTCTATAAGGTGGCTCAAAAAAGCGTGAGTGGATCGGGATGATTTTTTTTAAATGGAATACCTTGTATATTATTGCATTTTTAGCCTCCTTTCAGATCATTTTACATAATCCTAAGACATTTCGATAGTTTCAGAGGTATTAATAAATAAATAAACCTTGATAATAAATGAACAGTGCTTTCCATAAAATCAATAAAATTAAAAATATACGAAATAATATACATGTACTGATTTCTTTCGAAAATCGACAACTATGAAACTATGATCCTTTCCCGGAAACAAACGGTACATTGTGAGACAGGAAATTGTAGAGAAAAACAAGCCCTATAACATAGGATACAACATTTTAATGAACAGTGCTTTCCATAAAATCAATAAAATTAAAAATATACGAAATAATATACATATACTGATTTCTTTCAACCTTCGCTAAAGAAAGTATTATAAATATAATAAATAAGAGCTGTCCGGAAATCAAAACTATATTGGATTTTTACTTTAGATGGTCTATACTTACTTTGCTATAAATATCGTAATCTTAATTCATACAGGATGTTCAAAATTCGACGAGTGAGTAATATGAAACAGTATGGATTTATTTTAATAAAAAATGA